AGGGCATAGAGCTTGGAATCCAGAGGTTCTGTGGTTAGGGCATAGAGCTTGGAATCCAGAGGTTCTGTGGTTAGGGCATAGAGCTTGGAATCCAGTGGCAGTCTGTGGGAGTTCCACTCCCACAGACTGCCACTCTGGCAAGTCTGTGGGACTATTACCCCCACACTGCTCCCCAAGCGGAGAGGGGTTAAATGGAGAGAGAGAATTTTGTTGCTCTGTACTTGTGACAGTGGAATGACAATAAAAAAAAGCTTCCCCCCTCCAAACCTGCTATAGCCTTCAGATTAGCTGTAGCGCAGAGAGCTTCATGGGGTTCTATGGTTCAGCAGCCTCATCCAAGCCGAACATCACAAAGTGCAATGAGTTAAACATCATGAAATCTGATGGAGGAGTCTAGGTTTGCATTGTAGCGTAAAGTTTGGTGGAGGAGGGATTATGGTGTGGGGCAGTTTCTTTAGGAACTGGACTTGGCCCCTTAGTCCCAGCAAAAGGTTCTTCCAGCGAAGCTTTGCACCAGAGCACAGATCAACGTCTATAGAGACATGGAAAGCAGAGTCTGGTAGGGATAAACCTGACTGGCCTGCAAAGAGTCCTGATCTCAGCCACATAGAAAACCTTTGAGAGGAATCAGAGTGGAGACTGAGAGCCACGCCTTCTTGTCCAACATCAGTGTGTGACCTCACAACGAGCTCGTAGAAGCCTGATCCAAAGATCCTATAAACACCATTAGAAACCTCGTGGACAGCCCAGAAGAGTGGAAGCTGCTCTGGCTGCTAAAGGGGACTGATGTCATATTGAGCCCCTGTGATGTCACTGTAGCTCAGATGGAGGTCAAGGCAGGTGATCATTCTGGCTTAGAGAAAAGAGTTAATGACAGCCGCTTAAGCCTGGCTGGACCGGTACCAGGCCCATCTGACACCTGCTCATGTTCATCTATTTATAGAAATGGCCAAAACACAGTCACATGGTGTTTTATCCATACGCCTTTCAATTGGGGCTTTAAAATGTAAACATTTAAAATAGTGGTTCCACCTGAAAAAATATTCATCAATGTCTTCCTGTCATACAAATAAAAACAATAGTATTTCCAATTTATAGTGTGGGAACTGAACTGGCCCTCAGGGCTTAAGGGGTTAACAAATCGACAGAAATGATGATAAGATTAAAACAAACATATTTGTGTCTGTGGAAAAGAATCGGCATCTTCTGATATCCAGATTGAAGTATTGGTTTGGGATCCTGAAGATGCTGATCTGTGGAAGGATGGGTACCGTCTGTAAGGACGCAGGTTCAGTGGGACTCAGACTCCAGCAGATCACAGCGAGTGGATGGATCCCACGTGTCTGAACCAAGTTATACAAACTCAGATTTCACTAACAGCAAATATGAAATTCTGAAACTGACTGAAGTAAAACGAAAATGAACTGCTGGTTTATCACCACTATGAAAACCTTGCTGTTCATTTTTCCTGACTATCGTCTTCTCATTTATCCCACATGCTAAGTTTCCACTCAGCTTAATGGTGGGTTTTGTGACATATCGTTTCTTCTGGGTAACAAAAGGCATTGGCATCTATTCTTCTATGTAGCCTATAGTTTCACTGCTCCATGATTATCCAGACTAAACCATCCAGCAGCCATGTCAGTCCTTTTCTGTACTACACCTCTATCATCCATTCCTTTTTTTGCTCTCATATTTTGCTGTTTTTCTGCCTTTTCTTCTCCTGTCCTCTGCATCCTTGCGTACCTCTTCCTTCCTGCTTTGTTTGTCTCTGTGCTCACACCACCACCCCCCAACCAGTCCAACCTCCTGCACAGTTACGACCAGCTGCCTCGCTCACTGAGCTCCATCAGCCTCATGCGCTCAGCTGCATCTCCACTCCCAAAAAGTGCCTCCACCTCCCCGATTCCTCCACAGATGGTTTCTTCCACCTCCCCTCTCCCTCTGCAGGTCAATTCTTCCAGCCCTTTCCCGGAGTCCAAGCATGGTCGTCATTTCTCCAGCGAGTCCACTCACTCCCACTCCTCAGCTGAGGACCAGCGTGGAGATGGCCTGGGCATGGGCACGGGCAGCACCAGCACCCACTCGTCCAGCTGCCGCTCCTCCCACCGCGAGCGTCGCTCCTGGCAGGACCTCATCGAAACCCCCCTGACCAGCGCCGGGCTCCACTTTCTGCAGACGGCACCAGGGGAGAGCGATTACGGCATGATGGGGGGAATAGCAGGAGAGATGGGGTTCTATGGGGGACTGGGCAGGCAGGGAATGTCCCCAGACCGACGCAGACAAGCAACGCTACCTGTACGGAGACACCACGCAGCAGAGAGGGACAGGGAGCGCGACGGGCCCTTCCCTCTGGAGCGAGGGCCCTACACACACAGCCACACACACCGGCGCTCCCACAAACAGCGAAGTCAGAGTCTACCGAGGAACAGAGATCCAATCCTGGGGAAACTGTTGCACAGCGCAGCTCATATGGAGGAGAGGAGTGAGGATGAGGAGGCAGAAGGTTCAGCAGCAGACATGCTGGAGGCAGAGGATGGTAAGAAACCTTCTCCGCTGCTCACATTGACTCACTGATGTAGGGCCGCTGCAAAGGTTAAACATGATAAATACAGTTAAATCATTTCTGTTTACTGCAGAGCATTAGGGCCAGGCTTATGTTTGTTGTTTTAAATCAGAGAATAAAGGTTAGATGAAGGCGGTCATATGGAGGGACCCCTTCAGCCATGTACCCCTGGTAGGAAGCCTCACCCTGGCGAAGGATACTGAACCAAGTTTGGCCGCCCAGTGTGTCCAAGAGGTGTTGAATACATGGGACTGGATGGCGGTCTGCAGTCGATGTAAAGTCTTAATGTGACATCCTGCTTCCTACTGGAGGCAAATTACTGGAGCAGCAAAGGGGGACTTTGATTTTACTATCCAACTTTTGATGAGCAGGTCCTGAATGTTCTCTTTCACCTCTTTATATAAAGGTTTAGGAGTTGCTTCAGTGTCGCCTCTTCACTTGACTCCTCAAATAACTTTTGCTTCATTGCTCTGGTTTTGGGTGACTAATGTCCACTGGAGTGTGATAATGTGCAGAGTTTGGTTGCTTCTGGTCTTTACTTGACTTTAGTGTTGATTCAACAGTATGTATGGATACAGGTGCTGTTTCACACAAATGTCTGTTTCAACTATTGTGGCGATTGACTCGGTAGAACCCAAAACAGCTGAACTGGGTAGGGCCACACTTTGTTTGGAGTAGTTGGACACTGGTATTTTGACATATGGCCTGTCTGTCCTTTCGATCAGTAAAAGTCCTGCTTCAACACTAAGTTGGTCAAGGTGAGCGTTATTTAGCTCAAGCTCAAATAACACTTAACTCTGAAGAGTTAATGCTCGCTGGGACTGTAGACTTAGACACTTTAATACCCACCTTCACAGTAGCTGAGTCATCTACAGGGCACTTTTGGTACTGGATAAAGCTTACTAGTGCATTTACAGAAGGCTTGTCAATCCCCATAGCCCTACTAATAAACTCATTGAGTTTATAGTTCCCCATTGTCACTAATAACTCATGAATTGCGTTGAATGCTACCACTGGTCTCTAAATCTTAAGATGGCTCACCAGGATAAATCTGGATTGTTGTTGCCTTATAAGTTAACTACCACCTCTACCCACCCGTCATAGGGTACAGAATCATCTGTGACTGCTTTGACATTGGTCCTTATCCATTAGTTCACTTAAAGGCCTAATCTGCTTCTTGGGCAAGTACCCAACAGACTAACCCCTGCTCCGGTGTCTAGTACCAGTGTTACCAGGTAGCATCTCAGGAGGGACTGGCTACCTACCAGGGGAGCTACTAAATCCCGAGGTGTTTCTCGCTCAACACCCTCTCTGGAATTGGCCTCATCAGTCTCTCTATCAGAGTTGGGTTGGAGCCCTTTCTTTGAGGGGGACTGCTGGGGTCTGTCTGTCAGAGGTGGTCCCTCTGCCATGGCGTCTCCGGTTTGCCGACTGCTTAGACCTCTTTAAGAACCCTACAGCATGATGTCCTTCCTCGCCACATTTGGGGGCACATTCCTGGCAGCTCTTGTTTTCTGTATGGGGCTTCCTTCCTACATGGGGTTTTGGGCCTTTCTGACCAGTTGTTGGGTTGATCATTGTGATCATTGCTGTCAGACTCTCCATAGCTAGTGTCAGTACCTCTAATTGTGTAGTTAGCCTTTGGAGGGTGAGCTCTTTAAAAGGTTGGTTTTCTTTCACATTTTCTATTGTTTTTTCTTTTGACTCAGTGTTAGTTGTATGGGCATGACTAACTTTTGAAGTAGAACCACACCCCAGCCTGCGCTTCCTCTCATTTTCCTTTAGGTGGTCTTTATTACTTGGCGAAGAAGTGTTTCATCGCTAACACTGGGGTTTCCCAACAGAGTTCTTAAAACAAGCGCAAGCTGTCGTACTTCTCACTGTGGACATATTGAACAATTGAATCTGGTTGCTTCAGTGAAAACAGGATAATTTATTTCAGTCCAATCATTCTATATAAAAACTGTTGAGGTGTCTCACCTTCATGTTGTCTGGCACTCATTAGATCTTGGAAGAGTCCTGTGCTACGCTTTTCACTTAAAGGAGACTGCAGAAAACGTTTAAGCTCAGCGACAGAGACTTCGCCTTGATTGTCAACATATGTTGACTGTTGCCTGGCTTAATAGCACGCAATACTCCCCCCAGTCTCTTTGAGACCCTCGTCAACCTGCTTACAGTGACTATTATAGCTTATTTCTGATGTTGTATCACTTATCATCCACCCATGCACCCACAATTCTTTACACAACAGCAGTAGAAGGTCTTTCATATCTTCATCCTCTCACCAGTTCGATTTGAAATACAAAATATGGTAATTTGTTTTCAAAATAATCATCAGTTGCATCCCTATTTAACTCCATGTGTGGCTTTAGATGTGAAGTGGGCGTGGCTAACGTACAGACTTGTTTGTTAAGTCCTGTAGGGCACAGTTGGCACAAAGTTTGTTTTCTGTCCCATTCTTCTTTGTTAGTTGATCAAACTGCCAAAACTGACATCAGAAATCCCAGCAGATGAGTCTGAATGGAGCAGACTGGTACCAGCAGGAGACACGCTGCTCTGTCAGGCTGTTTACCGCAATAAGTACCGTAAAACCTGACGTTATCCAATGAAAAGTTTCATGATCAAATGAACGCCAACGTGAGCTGAGTGTGTCGCTCTTTATTCTCAGAGTGAACGTCGCTCTGGTTCACGTTCATTACTTCAGAACTGATCCGTTCAGTTCGTTGTTACTAAAAATAGGAATATATTCTGTAAAGCCGTTCATTGAACACATTCATGAACGACACTGATAACATCTTTCAAAAATAGACCGAATGAGGAGAATAAGTTAAGTTCTTGAGCTTGTAGTGATACACCTCAACGTCGGCGAATAGAAATGCATAGATGTGAAAACACAAATCTGAATCTCAAGTTTAATTTGCTGTCTTCATGTTGAATCCCATTATTTCCAGTCTGCATCTCACTTCCCCCTTCTGCCTGTTTCAGACCTGCGGGATTTCCGGATAGACAGCAGGGAGAGGAGGGTGTCTGAGGGGAGGGAAAGACGGGTTTCAGAAGGACGGGACTGTGATCCCCTGGATGGGCTAGAGCAGCTGTACCGGGCCCTGGAGCAAGCTAATGTGACCGCGCTGGGAGACCCCAAGCCCTGCAGTAAACAGGAGCTCAGACGCTGCTTCACCCAGAGAGTCAGGGACCCGCTGCTCAACGACCGGCTTCACCGGGTCCGAGCCCTCCGCAGCACATTGAAGGTACCGTTAATCAGTAACAACGGCTTGTAACTAAAGGCTGATTTGAAATATCTGAATGATGAACTGTTGTCTGGCTCCTCCAGGCCAAAGAGTCTGAGCTGGCAGTGATCTGCGCCCTCCTGGAGGACCCCAGCCTCTGCTCCCAGACCTTCAGAGAGTGGAAGCAGTGGCACAGCGAGCTCTATGCAGACATCTGCCAGCTCAGCCCCGGCACCAACGGCCAGGACGACCTCTCCCCGATGGGGGCACCTCTCATGACCCACACGCACTCCTTCATCGAGACACACGTGTGAGGCGATGGATGGCACCCTCTTTCAGACGCTGGCGCGGCGACGAACGCCCGGAGGGCTTTCCATCGACCATCACCACTCGGAGCACGTCCTCACACTCAAACACAGGAACAGACGTTGTAAGATGTGTAAATATCACAGAGGGGAAGAGTCTGAGAGGTGTGGGGTGAACTTTTGATAATCATGAGGACCCTCCCCAACACAGGGTGCCTACTGCATGCCTGAACAGAAAGCATTAATCTTCCTTTGTCTATGGAACTCACCTAAAGTCCACAAGCTTGTCAACTAAAACAGGAAAGAATAACGACTTTAAACCCATGTTTGTTTCTTTGCGTTGTGTTAATGTTGATGTTAGGGGGCAGGGGGGAGCCATGTAGCAGCAATACAGAGGAGAAACCTTTTCACCACAGCACTGTACTTTTCTACTGATGAACTTTGCACCCAGAGCCACCAGGTCTCCCCCTCCCTCTGCATCTTTCTTTTCTTCTCATTGCATATCTCAATGATTTACAGGGAAATCACTGTTATTTCAGGCTTGTCTGATGGGACATGTGAGGGCGGAAGCTTCAGTGTTCAGACTGTGAGAGGTAGCCATGATTCGCCGTTTCTCTGGGAACCCATGAAGCGAAGCATCAACCGTGCCGTCCGCAGGCACGCTCCTTTAAACTGTGAAGTGTTCAGTCGTCTTGCAGAAGAAGGCTCCTCTGTTTTAATGCAATCCTGTTTCTGACCCCCCACCCACCCCTCCCTCTATAATAGTGCTCAAAGACTTGTGTAAATGTGTATACTGCTGTAAATGTTTGAGTTCCACTACCACTGTGATTCGCTTCTAGAGGTAGCGGAGAGGAGACGGCGCGTTTCTATTAGTGTGGCTGCAGGAAAGTTTTTCTTTACTTTTTATCTTGTTTTTTTTCACTGAATGCAAGAGCAAAGGAGTTCTCTTTTCAAAGCAGTCACTCACTACAAAGAATGCACTTTCTATATCTCTGTATCCCATCGGCTGCATCACAGGGTCTGCGTCTCATCAGCATCCTCCTCATTGCTCTTCAGATATCAGGTAAATTCATCTGCCCTCTCATTTTATAACGATTTGTGTACAGTCTACAGATATATTTAAACATAGGAGAATATATAAATCTATTTACATTTTGTGTCATAGATGTAAAGTAAGATGTATTCTATGCCAAGGTTTTTGCCCCCCTCCCCCCGGCAGGGTGCTGTGCAGCAGTTTGACTCGTTGGACTCACTGCTATTCCTTCTCTTGGTGACGTGTTGCATGAGGAAAGATCCGGGACTAGTTAGACTGGACAGGGTAAAATACTGTGGATTCGTTTTTCTTTTTATTTATTAGTCTTGTAGCGCATGGTACATGCAAAAAAATATTCTTTTTATAGTATATATTTTCACATTTATTAAGTCTTTTATCATTGCTGACAGTTTACAGACACACACTGTACAACAGAGGGAGTTTTTTTCTTTTCTAGAAGGTTGTGAGTTTGGTCCATTTATAGTTTCTTCCAAAAGTATTCACACCCCTAAAACTAGAATTAAAATCTCTATTTTCATTGTTGATGCCTAATTTTAACTCAGACAATCGGCTCAGGTTGCTCATATTAAACAATGAAAAACAGAGCAATGGGCATCCTTAGAAGACTTTAGGAAGTCTTTAAAAATAAGATATTCAGATATACGCCTGAAAGAAACAGATCGCTAACGGTACGAGCGCGTAGGACGGCCTTACGGAATCATATCACCATGATTGACAGCTAGGAGGACCACTGATGGAGATGATCCACCTGGAAATAAAAGATCCTCCTCTATACCTTCAATATACCACAAGTTTCATTTTGTTTATGTTTTAGGTGATAAACCAAATCACAGCAAAATGAAATGTAATCAGAAAATGATGCGTCAATTTGGTTGATTTTGGTTCTTAAGCACTTTACCTTTTTACTGTGATTCCAAATGCAAGATTATTGCAACAATATCTCCACCAGATCTTGAGCGTAGAGATCAACTGATTCAGGTTTTTTCAGATTATTTTGACTCCAGTGTAACTGAATCCCGATTTGTGCTGCAGTTTTTAGAAAGCATTATTGTTTTATTCTTCCTTCATTTATGAGATAAAAATTAAAATGATTATAAATGTTTCAAAATCTGAAAGCAAATACCAGGAAAAAAAAACCTTCCAGAAATATTGTCTGGTTGCTCTATTTCTAACATGTTTTTGCCTCTTCTTTACTAAATAGATCAAACTCGGTGAGAAACATGGAGATCTTTTCATCTCTATTTCTGTCTCATCTGAAGAAAGAACAATCTTCCATCTCCTGCGTTGCTTGATGTAAAACGTTGAATGCATTTTTCACCAGTAGCTTGTTTTTATAACCCTTCTTTCTCAAACTGTAAGCTGTGCATGACTAATGTCCACCTGAGCTGTGGAACTGCTGCTGCTCCTCCAGAGTTACCAGAAGCATCTTTCTCCCCGGCCTGACGTTCAGCTGGATGGTTTTTATTAACCTCACCCTGCTTTAAATATCTGCAACATTTTCTTTAAAACTTTTCTTTCTGCTTACTTTAACTTTATGAATCTTGTTTTATTTGAAACTAAACTGATATTTTATTTAGGGTTCTTTTAGCAAATAAAGCAAAATATAACAGTGTTCCATTACTTTCAGATTTTTAATCTTTAGATATTTTTTGGGTGGAATTGTCCTTATATTTATGGAAAGTTTGAGTTAATCTGTTACATAAAATAAGAAAAAAATAAATTGAATAAAATGATTTTCCCCTACTGGGTCAAATATGCATACAGCAAACTGATTACTAGGGTGTCAATACTTTTGGAAGATGCTTTTTAAAGAATGAAATGTGAAAATCAGGGTTTCAGTCGGTAGAGAAGGACTTTGCTTCCCTAATATTTGCACCCAGGAAGTGGCTGATGCTGATTGGTCACAGAGAAACTAAAATGAATCATTTCATCTGCAACATCAGGCCAAGGACTCAACAGTGCCCCCCAGTGTCCAAAACTCTGAACAACGTGTAGCACCTGCTGCATCCAGCTCTGTATGTCCTGACTTCATTTTTTACTGTTGGTCTTGAGTAGATTTTCCATCACATCACACCGAAGTAAAACATCAAACCTATTTTTCCAATCGTTCATTTTTTAGAGTGCCACAAAGAAACTCAATGATGCAAGCACTTTCCCTGTGCCTCCCAAATCCTCTCTTTGACAGCAAAGGTCTCACCACACCAGTGTTCCCTCTCACATCTGCGGCAGACGAAGAGCTACGATGCAGCTCCATGCTCTCCATCATGTCGTAGAAGTGCAGGTCTTCTATCTCCAGCTGCTGCTCCTATGAGCGGCTGGCAGACTGTAGATGAAGAAGAGTGTTTGATTTAGACACTAGTTATTCCTAGCAGACCTGTGAGTGTGAGTGTGTGTGAGTGTAGACCTGCAGAAACAGGCTGAAAAGAGAGATTCCACTGTGTGTTCTTTCAGGGGTGTACACCTCATGGTACATTGCACAGGTGTGTAAGATGTAAGTTGCACTGCGACATTAAAAAAGGAACATATTGCTCTTTTTCAAGGATAATATTAGCTTACTGTTATTCTGTACATTAAACTGACTAAAGATGATATTAAAAAGAAAGAAAATGACATTTATTCTTCCTAAAGTAGCCTTTTTTGATTTCATATATATGAAAGTATATAAATATATATAAATATATATATATATTACAAAAAATACAGATTGTAAACCTAAGTTGTTAAACTTTGACTTCAATAAACTGAATCCTCTGCACTATGAGCTGCTCTTCCTTTCTGTCAATGAGTTTTATTTCTATCTTTCTCAGTGTTCAAATAAAAACATCAAAGTAATTCAGATATTTATGTGTATAGATTTATAATGCACAGAGAGATATTTAAGGTCTTATGTTGTTCATTTTGATATATATCAGTTATAAGACAGATGAGAAAACAGGATGACTCGTAGCCAAAGGTTGTCTGACATATAAACAGTGTTATGTTTACTTGTTGGGACTCATTTAGCCTGAATTAGTGCATCAGTGCAGCCCAGCCTGGAGGAGCTCAGCCATTGGCTGGAAGCAGCCTTCCATTTCACTGAACTGTTGTAATATTATAGATTCTCTATGATCAGGTGAGTTTGCAGGCCAACCTAATGCAGTTAAATCATCGTCGTTAAAGCAGAGAAAAGAAAGATTTACTGAACTCCAGGAAAGAAAAGTATATAACCAACTATAAACTCTTAAGCAACAAGAAAATTTATGAAATATAATGACTTTACGTAGAAAAACAAACTAACATCTCCAGAAGTTCTCAGATGACTCGTCGATCATAGACTGACTTTCTGAGCTGGAGGATCGATCGATCATCATGAACTTTGTGGACTGGTGTGAGAAGAACCACCTGGGTCTGAACAGCAGTAAGACCGAGGAGATGCTGATGGACTTCAGGAGAAGATCCCCACCTCACTCCCCCCATGAACATCCAGGGGAGGACATAGAACCTGTGGAGAGTTTCTAATCCCTGGGTGTTCAGGTCAATAATAAACTGGACTCCTAACAGCGACGCCCTGTAGAAGAAGGGCCAGAGCCGCCTCCCTCCACCTCCTGAGGAGGCTGAGGTCCTCTGCAGTGAGCGGCTCCTGCTTCAAACCTTCTCTGACTCTGTGGAGGCCTCAGCCCTCCTCTACGCTGTCGTCTGCTGGGCCCCTGGCAGCGCAGAGCGGGACAGAAAGAGACTGAACAAACTGGCCGTTTCTGTCCCAGGCTGCAGTCTGGACTCAGTGTCTGAGAGGAGGGAGCTGTCCAAGCTTCCATCCATCATGGACGCCTCCTTCCACCCTCTGCAGCAGACTGGAGAGGAGCTGAGCAGCTCCTTTAGTCAAAGACTTTCACAGCCTGTTAGGAGAAAGGAGCTACTGCAGGTCATTCATCCTGCTGCACCCAGACTCTACAATGAGACGCTACAACCACAATAACTGCTGCTATGGAGAATAATTACTATTTAATACCCTAAACAATGACCGTTTCTCTATATCTGACACCCAGAACAATAACTAAATATATAAATACCCATGCAAACACCCTGAATAATAATCCTGGTATAAAAAAAAGAAGCTGTCCTATGTGGACGCCCTGTATGTATATATCCCATTATGCACCTTTTTCTTCCTTTGCCTCCTTCTTCTTCTTCTCCTTTGACCATTTGAGCTAATGAGTAAATTTCTCCACTGTGAGATCAATAAAGTCAATCAATCAATCAATCAATCAATCAATTAATCGATCAATCGATCCATACTGGGTATGTAGCACTGCTGGTAACTGAAATCAGAAACTTTGGCAGGAAGGCATCAGCTGCTAAATATCTCGTGGACGACGGCTTGGCTGATTTTCTGACTAAATGAGCAAAGTGGAGCAAAACAGTAAATGAAACGTCTTTACTAATAATGGAAACTTCCTACTGGGATTCAGAATAAAACAAACTTTATTGTCATCTTGTTCACATAGATGGTTTACAAAACCAGATTTCGATGGGTTCTCCTCATCCTCTGCAGGACGTCCAGGCGCTTCTGGGCCCTTTAGACCAGAGAGGAGGTGTTTCCAGTCCAGGTGAGGGTGTCTGGGATTCAAACTCTGGGAACTTTATTAACCCTTTGGAGGGCGCTCAGTGAAATCCTTGGAAAATTCCAATTTCCGGCTAAAAGTGTTCTTGGAATCCAGGACCAGACCTTAATACCTTTGTAACATAAAAGAATCTGGACTTTTTGATGGCAAAAGTGAATATCAATATAATAACCAGAAACGCCAACTTGCCAGAATAAATTAAGAAAAATAACAAAAGTGCTTCTAGAAGAAATTCATGACAAACACTCTGAGAGCGAAAGAAACACATTTTATTTGGTCCAAGGCCGAGGTCTGGTCGGATTCCAAGACTCCTCGTTATGTGGCCTTATAATGTGTCCTTCTTTTTGTCCGATTTGAAGGACGGGTCCGATGTATCCTCTGTATCCTTGGATATCCCAGGATGCATTGCGAGACCAAACAAGTCAGCTGCTCCGTCCTCAGAGGAAAAAGGCAAATGGTGAATATTGTAGGTTCAGTTTAATATAATCCAGTCTGTGAATAATTCTGTCTGAAATGAATGAAAATAGTTGTTTTAATGATTATTGAGTCAGATAT